AGCTTTGACAAATCGGTACAGCTGTGTAACCATCCCCAAAGTCAAGATGCAGAACATCCCTAGCAGCCCTAGGAAAGTTCCTTCAGGCCCCTGATCAATCCCCATCTCCCGCTCAGTCTCAGCCTCGGGCCACCATGACCCGCTCTTTCTGTCCCTGTAGAATAGTTTTGCCTTTTCTAGGATTTCACATCAGAGAGACTGGGTTGCAACCCACTCCAGTACTCTTGCCTGGAAAATCCCATGGGCAGAGGAGCCTGGTGGGCTGCAGTCCATGGGGTCGCGAAGAGTCAGACACGACTGAGCGACTTCACTTTCACTTTTCACTTTCATGCACTGGAGAAGGAAATGGCAGCCCACTCCAGTATTCTTGCCTGGAGAATCCCAGGGATGGCGGAGCCTGGTGAACTGCCGTCTAAGGGGTCGCACAGAGTCAGACACGACTGAAGCGACTTAGCAGCAGCAGCAGTAGGATTTCACATAGATGGAACCACGTGAAATGCACCCATTGCTTTGCTCAGCAAACCACTTTGAGATTCATCCAGACCATTGTTATGTGTGTCCTGTTCACTGCCAATTATGGTCCACTGCCTGGGGGTTGCGTCTGCACCGTTCACCTGTGGCTTAGCCACTTGGGCCAGTCCAGTTTAGGGTATTAATGAGCCAGGCTGCTGTGAACACTCAAGTACAAGTATGTGAACGTGTTTCAACTCCTGGGCAAACACCCGAGTGCAGAACAACTCGGTCACATGGCAAGTGGACAAGACCTTTCCTGAGCTGTCTCCTATTTCCCAACCCCTATCCCCAAGCCGCCCTGCTTTCCATTCCCCTAGGCAGAGCAAGAGGCTTTCCGCATCCTCTCCAGCATCCGACACCAACTGCTTGTTGCGTTCAGTCCCACGGAGAGGTGTGCGATGGCATCTTTTTGTGGCTGTAATTTGTTATTTCCCGGGTCAGTTCTGCTGTTTTTGGCATTTGTTAATAACGATGTTTTTATTGTGGAGAAATTTCAAACATTTTGTGTAATACATTTCTCTGTTTGTGGTTTTGGGGTTTTGTCAATTTCCTTTTATACCCCAAGCATGATGGCTTCAGCCCCGAGAAATTGTTCCCTCAGGGTGAACCTCCTTATTTTTAGGGGTTTCCAAAGCAATGGAACCTATACCCGGGTTCACAAACTCCCCATCTCCCCAAGACCAAGCAAGCCATTTGGTCTTCACCTGCCTTAAGCCCTCACCTAGAACAGCAAGGTTTGACCAGGGTCGCGGGACACAGACACACGACCACCGGCTCTCATCCTTACTGTACTGAGCAGAGACCCTCAAGCAGGAAGACTCTGAGAGGCCCCTGTCTGGTGCGGACAGGGGCTGAGCAGGACAGGGTCAGAGGCCACTCCCTGGCCCGCATGCCCCCTCTGCAATCCTGTCCCAGGGAGGGCTCTGGTCCGCATGGGACTGGAGGCTGGGAGAGCAGAGTGCCAGTGGTCCCCTGCCAGGCCTCCCGGGATGGATGGAGGAGGCTGCGGTGTGTGTGTGGGGGCGGGTGGTGAGCGGGTGGTGGTGAAGGAACAGATGTGTGGGGGAGGAGAAAACTGGCTTTCCATGCCCTGTGCCCTGGTTGGGGCCCACTCACCAGCTCCCGGGCTGGCCAGGTCACCTCACAGACGCCAGACACACCTGACGTCTCAGCCTCTGGACCTGTATTCCCATCTGTTTTGTGTCATAAGTTAAGAGTCGCTGGGAAGCATGAAGCCACCCCAGGCTGGAGCAGAGGCCGTGCAGAGAGCCTCAGGTCCGGGGAAGGAGCAGCCCGGGCTGAAGTGGGAAAGGGAGCCAAACTCCAGGAAAATCCCATTCGCAAACATTTCCCTCTAGTATTCAGGAAGCATTAGATTCATTGCAACTGCTAGTGATCTTTATTCAAATTAAACTGGAAACCCCACAGACACTGTGATCCTGTTTCAGAAAGCAAGTTCTCCCCTTAATTCAGTTCTCTGGTGTGGGGGCGCTCACACCCCCATCTCAACACAGTCCCAAAGATACAAGCAGGAAGGGGAAGTGGTCGGACCTCCAGAAGGCTGTCTGAGGGCTAGAGAGACTGAGAAGTGGAGCCCCAGAGACACTTGCCCACCCACCTGGGGTGGCCCTGGGCCAGCCTGGCTCCACCCTCACCCCATAGGCTGTCCCAGAATGCTTTGGGCCAGGGCTAGTGCCTGAAGTGTCGCCTGAGCTTCCCCAGAAGAGCAGGAGACATCATACCTCCACCCCCCACCACCCCCAACTCTGCACAAGTCCCCAGACTCACACGGGTTTGGGGTAACACCTGAGTTGAAACATCTGCAGACACCAGCCCTGCTACGTGGCACTGCCCAGGGGTGTGTGCGTGCTTGCTAAGTCACTCCAGTCGTGTCTGACTCTTTGTGATCCCAGGGACTGTATAGCCCACCAGACTCCTCTGTCCATGGGATTCTCCAGGCAAGAATACTGGAGTGGGTTGCCCTGCCCTTGCTCCAGGGGATCTTCCCGACCCAAGGATCGAACCTGTGTCTCCTGTGGCTCCTGCATTGCAGGCAGATTCTTTAATGCTGAGACACCAGGGTAGTCCCGTGCCCCGGGGTGCTGCTCGCTCTGTGGGAGGTGGGCAGGTTCTTGGGTCCCACTCTGCTCCCATGTGCTTGGGTCTTGTCAACCACCCACTTCCTGAGCCTGAGTCTGGCCCCAGGGGCCCCCTTGAAGCCCCTCACCCCTTAAATGATGGGCCCTGAGCCCTCAGCATTTCCCAGGAGGGTGGGTAGGAAGCATGGTCCCCACAACGTGAGAGATATAACCTGGCATCCAGGCCTCTCTGCCCACGGTGTGGGGCGAGAGGGGTGGTCAGGACAAGAGATTCCCCCACCCAGCAGCTGGGCAGACCTGGCCTTGGGTTCTGCTCCTGGATCATGCAGTCGGGGGGGTGCTACCTGTATGGCGGGGCATGGGGGTACTCAGTGCAGTTCTTTGCGGGGTAGGAAAGGGATGCACTGAGATAATGTTGAGGGGAAGGGGGTGGCCTTGCAGCCTAGAAGTCCCACTCTAGGTCCCCCAGGCCCCCACCCCACCTAGACCAGGGAGTCTCCCAGCAACTGGTTTCTGGAACAACTAGAGGCTGCGGTCAGCGGGAGGCCAGTGGGGAAAGCCCTGGTAGGGCTGAGAATGGGAGGCCCTGCCCCCAGAAGGAGGGCCCCTTCCCCCTTGCCTTGCGCCCCAGGGCCCCAGGAAGGCTGGGGTGGCCCGGCCAGCCCGGGAGCCGCAAAGGGCATGGAGAGTGCAGCGCTGGGGCGAGCCGCCAGCAGGGCCGAGACAATGTGGTTTCAATCTAATTGTCCCAAAATATTGTTACAACACAAACCACGTGCCATCCACTCACCTGCAACTAATCAGCGGCAAAGCTACCGAATAAATCGGTTCCACACCCGTGGGGCCGGGCAGCCCGGCGCGCGAACCCAGGCACCCAGGCCAAGGCCACCGCCGCCGGGGCCTGCTTCCTGTGGTGGGTGAGAACCATCAAGGGGCTCCTCCTCTCTCTGTGACCCCCACTGCACTCTGGAGGGCGAAGCTGGAAGGCCCAGGCCCTCCCATCACACCCGTTCAGGTCCCAGAATGTCAACAAGGAGCTGGGGCTACACTGGGGCTAAAGCCAGGTCAGTCAAGGTCATACCAGGGTCGGAGGGCCCAGCGAGTCCCCAGCTTCCTCTCTCCTCCCTCACCATCCCATCTCGAGACCGGGGCCTTGGGGACTTCGCCCCTCTGGGAAATACTGGCAAGCCCATTGCAATAATGACACAACTGCCTTCTAAGGCACTGAGGCCTTTTGGTAAATATGATTGAGAGATTTCTGCAGCACCCATAGGAGCCAAGGACATTCTCCATGTAGCTGGCCAGGAAAGCCAAGCTCACAGAGCACCCCTGCTGTGCCAGGGCCCATTGCCGGTGGGCTGGGGCACCGGCACCCTCGCTTGGTTCTTCCTGAGAGCCTCGCTCCCAGCTGGCACTTTGCACGCTGCTGGGCAGTTGGACTGGATGCAAGCCCTCTGGGAAGGGCCTGGACACTGAACACCAAGGGACAGGACAAAGCACAAATCTGAGCGCTGGAGTAGCAGGCAGCTCGGACCCCTTCCCGGAGCCTGGACGGCCCCCAGGGCAGCCCTTGAGCCCAGCCTTGAGGGCGAACAGTGTGTCCAAGGGCAGCAAAGATGGCGCAAGAGTGAGCTCCCGGAACCCACCCTCAGTGGAGTATTGCGGGGGAGGCTGGCAAAGACTTTCTTTCCAAATAAGGTCACAGTCATGGGTTTCAGGTAGGCGTATCTTTTTTTCTCAGAGGCGGGGGTTGTTACCATTTGACCCTTGACACAGTGACAGCCTCATCCCTATCTACCCTTGAGAGCACAGTCTGTATTAGTTACCATGTAAATAAACATTTGCCCACATTCATTTTCACAACACTTCTGGGATGCGGATGTTATTATCCTACTTCATAGGTAAGAAAAATGAGGCTCAGAGATGTTAAGCAGCCTCCCAGAAGTGGCACAGCTTGGAAACAGTAGAGCCCATTCTAACAACACCTGGGCTCTTCCTATGGGACACTGTGCTCTCTTATAGAATAAAGCCTGAAAAGTGGCAATAAGGCCTCATGACAGCCAAACACGCCCCGAAATGCCCCTCAAGGAGAAGCACCACCAGGAGCACCACCACGCACCACCATGAGCCAGTGTCTTCTGCTCACATGGGGAGATGACTGACTGTTCCTTGCATGTCTCGTGGGTGACTCCCTGTAGAATCAGTGGCCCAGAGAGGTCGCAGGTATTCCCAACACCACACAGCCAGCAGCTGCAGAAGTGGTCTTAACTCAGGTGCACACTGAGCCCAGCAGCAGGGAGCCGGGGATCCCCCCCAGGACAGGTTTTCCCAGCAGCTGGGGGCGGGGAGGGGAGGGCTGGTAGAGAGGATACTGCCCCCCGAAACCAGGCCTGGAGGACGGCGGCATCAACCCCGGCTCCTGGCAGTTCCTCCTGCAATGGGTGCGGGACGTGAGAACCCCACACAAGATCCCCACACCACGTATGTGCCGATGGTATCAACTTCTCCCCCATCCGTCTTTGGATAAGAAGCAAAGTAGACAGAATTACTGTTTATCTCCAGTTAAGCTGGGCCTATCTGGCAGGGGAGCAGCCAAGGAGGTGGACTCTGACCCTCAGGGGGACGGGGAGGCCCCAGGGGGGCCCCCTACATGTCTCTCTCTGTGGGCCCCTCCCCTAATAAAATATTTTTATTGTGGAAAAATACCTATAACATAAAAGTAGCTATTTTAAGTATTCTTTTAAAGTGTGCAATTCAGTGCCTTTAGCTACATTCACCATGCTATACAGCCATCACCACTATCAAATTCTAAAACTTTCATCATCCCAAACAGAAAAGCTACTCATTAAGCAATAACTCCCCTCTCCTCCCTCCCCCAGCCCCTGGTAACCTCTAATCTACTTTCTGTAGCGAAAGTAGCCCATTCTTTCTGGCCCATTCTAAGAACCTCATATGCATGCATGCATCCTAAGCCTCTTTAGTCATGTCCAACTCTTTGAGACCCTATGGACTGTGGCCCGCCAGGCTCCTCTGTCCATGGGGCTTCTCCAGGCAAGAATACTAGAGTGGGTTGCCATGCTCTCCTCCAGGGGAATCTTCCTGACCCAGGGATCGAACCTGCATCTGATGTGTCCTGCATTGGCTGGTGGGTTCTATACCACTAACGCCACCTGGGAAGCCCAAGAACCCATATAAGTGGGGCCAAACAATATTTGTCCTTTTTGTCTGAACACTTAGCGTAATATCTTCAATTACCCATGTTGTAGCATGTTATCAGAACTCCTTTCCTTTCTATTCCTCTGTATGGACAGAGCACATTTTGTTTACCCTTCATCAGTCAGTGGACACTTGGATTGCTTCCACCTTTCAGCTGCTCTGAAAGCCAGCATGCAAAAGGCACTACTGGGTCATGTGGTGATTCTTTTCCTTTCGACCATACTGCACAGCTTGCAGGATCTTAGTTCCCTGACCCAGGATCAAAGCTGTGCCCCCTGCAGTGGAAACATGGATCCCTAACCACTGGACCACCAGGTGATTCTATGTTTGGAGAACCAATAGCTACCCCTTCCTTTTTCAACTCAGATTTGAATCTTTCACAGGAAAAGATTTTGTCTCCATTCCCTCCCCGGAGCCAGAGGGGAATGTGTGAGGGTGAGAAATGCCCGGGGAGCTGCTGCAGTGGGTGAGGGGGCCTGGAAGGCTGCATGGCCAGGACCCAAACCAACAGAGGGACCCCGGCCTCCTGGGCCCTGCAGGTTGCAGCTCTGAGTCTCAGCTCTGAAGCTCTGGGGCTGCTGCAGGGCCTGAGTGGGTGGTTCCATCACTGGGTGCCTTGCTTTCCTTGTCTGTCAAAGATGGATAGAACGGCACCTACCTCTCAGGAGGCTCTGAGCAAGGAGGCAGGTACAGTGTGGAGGCCAGCATTAGTGTGTCGAAAGCACTCAGGAATATCAGCCCTCAATGCCCACAGCCTCACTCTGGGGGAGATAGGCCAGTGGGCTGTCCTAGCCCATCCTGCACCTGGCCCATATCTCAAGGACCCCATCAGCTCATCTCCTCCCTCCAAGCTGTTTCTGAGGGCCCCAGGGCAGGGACTGAGCTCACAGCCCCCTGGAAGGAAGCCTGGAGGAGGGACCCTGGGGGCACGGTCATGAGCAGAGCAGACGGGGCCTCCTCTGTCCTCCTCTGCCTGCATGGCATCAGGGCTGGGGTCAGGGGTAGGGGGAACTGCATGCCATGCAGGTTCTCTCCAGTAGGGGGCGTCCTCTGCATTTCAGCCTCACCCTTGCTTTCCTGAGGAGTTGCAGTGACCCTTTCCTCATCTAGTGATGGACAGCTGGCAGTGGCCTGGGGCAGGCCCTGGGGTAGGGCCAGTACAAGACCTGGCCATATGGGGCTCTCGTAGCTGTGGGGTTCTCAAGGGCTGAGGCCTGCCCCGGGGAAGGCCCCTGGAATGCAGGGGCTTGGAGATGCAGCCCAAAGTGATGAGCCCAAGGGAGGTGTGGGCAGGTGTGAGACAGACTGGGAGCCTGCTTGGGGTGTCCCTGGCCTTTCATACTGTTCCCAATGGAGAGGGGACCCCAGGCTGCCTGCAGAGGCTGCTTCTAGGGTCCAGGCCTGTTGAAGATAGGGTTGAGGGGGCTCTGGACTGGACTCAAAGCCACAGACTCCATGCTCTGGGGAGACCCCCTTCCCAGATCAGCTCAGCTGCAGCCGGACCCCCTGTGGTTCTGCAGCTTCCAAAGGAAGGGTTGGCCTCCCCCCAGGCCGGTTGTGCCTGACTTGATCCACAGATGGTCCCAACAAACTTTTCGAAACGCGCGATTTCTTTTAGCGTCTGTCAGAAGAAATAAAACCAACAGATCAAGCCTGTGATTTCACAGATCTTAACAATGCCTGGGACAAGATCAGGTAAAAAAGGAGCCGTGAAATTTCAGAACTCGGTTGAATAAGCAATGGGATGGGGTCTGGGGATGGTCAGGCACAGACTGACTCAGGTTTGGGACGTCCACCTTTCCCACCCCGCAGAGGCCTGGGCAGCCCTCGGCTCCTGGCCCAGCTAGAGAAGGGAGGGAGATGCTAGGCTGGGCGGGAGGGCCCCCCCACCCACTACCACCCCGCCAGTGCCCCAGGCCCAGTGAGGATGCTCCCAGCCTGGCCCCTTCCCGCAGGTTTTTCCCGTCTGGCAGGAGCCCTGGCAGGCAGGCCGGCAGTCTGGGCGGGGACTTCGGCTGGCCGGGGCCCATGTGCCCTGCACCCTGCCTCAGGGTGAAGTGAGAAACCTGACCAGGTTCCAGCACAGATGGGAAACCCCACCCCAGGGCCCGCGGCGGGACAGGTGTGGCTGGGCGGCGGGCTCCCTCCCACACCCACACAGGCCTTGGGCCAGGGCGTCTGAGCCCGGTTTGGCAACGTCCCCGCACTGACACAGCAGCTGCCACTCCCCAGGCCTGGAACCCAAGATCCAGGCCGTTTTCCGGGCAAGCGCAGCTCAGGAGCTCTGTCCTGGGCGGGGGAACACCTGCTCTGGTGGCAGGGCTGAGGAATTGGGGTGCCCAGGAATGGATGTCAAGTGAGGGACGGGAGGACGTTGGTCCTGACCAGGAAGAAGGCCGAGGAGGGGGAGGCATGTGTGGGCAGTCATGGCCACATCCACAGGTGGGCCCAGCAGAATCAGGGCCTGGGGCAGCCACCAGCCTGGAGCTGGGCAGAGGCTGTGAACTCTGGGGGCCAAGGCCCACCCCCTCACCTGCCCTGGGAAGGCTTTCTGAGAGGCTCAACCTCAGGCTGACCAGGGGCTGCAGAGGGTGAATGAGCTGGACACAGAGCCCCGGGCCTGTCCTCATCCTCCCCCTGGTCCTCCCCACAAGGACCCTCAGCTACCTGCTGGGGCAGAGATCTCATTCATACACAGGAAAGCAAGTCAAAGGCAGGCCCCTGGCCTCCACGTAGCCCTGGGGAAGCTGAGCAGAATTCTGCAGGCTGATCACAATCCCAAGGAGCAGGAAAAGGGAAGGCCAGGATCTAACGAGCAAAGGTGATGAAGAGACTCTGCCACACCATGGGTCTGAGGACAGTGCAGAAGGCCCGGGCTGCCCAAGCCACAGCTGGCTCACTGTACCCGCCTCTCAGGGACAAACCCTTGTCTCCAGTGGCACAGGCCTGAAGCTGCGGAGCGCAGGGGATGTCCACGGTTCTGGGGGAGCCGAGGCAGCCTAACAAGCCTGTTTCCTTTTCTGGGGTTTGCACTCTACCATCTTGAGATGCCATGTGCAAGAGTCAGTAACACACACGGGCCAGCACGGGACCCAGAGCAAGGCCCCCTGGGCAGGGCTCCCTCCAGCTCCTCCTGGAGCTGTGTGTGTGTGCCTGCATGGGTCTGCAAAAGTCTCCACTGTGGCAATGTCCGCAAGTCTGTTTCTGTGCAGCAGGGGCTTGGACTAGCCACACCCAGCTCCCCTTTCCCTGGCTGGGGCTTTGGTCTTGGTGTTTAAATGACTTACACCCCAACTTTCTCATCTGAGAAATGGGATCATTTTCAATACCTTTCTCACAGCATTAAGTGTGAGGGTCAGATGAGGCCATATTCTAGAGGTCTATACACAGTGAAGGTTAAATCAGTGGCAACCACTGTCTCCCTTCCCCCGAGTTTTACTCTCTCTTAGCCTCAGTTTCCTTATTTAAAAACAGGTTAATAACAGCAAACTCCCAGTGGCCACTGGGACCCAATATGTCAGTGTTTGAGATGGGACTTTGTGACGGTTTCCTCTTCCAACACCTTCCCGTGAGCCCCAGGAGTCTCTGTGTCTCAGGGTGAAAGGACAGGAGGCCAGGGAGATTCAAGAGCTCCTTCCAGGAGCATTTGAGCAAATGGACCCCATCCCCTCCCTGCCTGGATACAAACAGTGTAAACACCAGCACAGCACTGGGCTGGGCTGGGCTCTTGCTTGCCCTCTCTGGGCATCTCCCAAGGTCCCCAGGGCAAGGCAACAGTGGGATGGGGTCTTGGGGAAGCACCGGGGGTCTGGCCTCTCCAAACCTCAGAAGATATCTTTTTTTAAGTTATATAAATAAAATGTATTTGTGTATATTGACTTTGTACTCACAGCTCTTTTTTTTTTAAACAGCTCTATTTAAAGCAATACTGTTGCATTTGCTCACTCTCTCTCCCTTTATACAAAACTGCTGAACTATTTGGAAGCCAGTTGCAGACACTGTGACACTTCACCCCTAAATACTTCAGCATCTCAATTCCAAGAAGGGCTTTCTAACCTCGTCATGCCCTGGAAATGTAGCTGGCATGATCTCTCAGATCCCATGCGGCCCATGTGCAAAATTCCCCACTTCTCTCTGAAACCCTTCAGAGGTGAATCCCACACCAGCCTTTTTTTTTTTTAACATGGACCATTTTGAAGCAACCAGAGCAGTTGTTCTGCCAAATGGTTTTCAATTTGGGTTTCCTCTATTCTTCCCTTGTGACT